TCTTTTCCTCTTGGTTTTCAGTTTTGTACTATATAAGTGATCATATTGATCAGTGGACTGGCCCAAACCAAATGAGACCCCAAAATGATCCCGCTTTTCCCACAAACCACATTACCTGAAATTGCCCATTTTGACCAGCAGATGGTGGTATTGAACCAGTGTGGTAAAACGCTAGATCATTTCGCCAGTGTGAAAATAAGCCAAAGCGAATGAATAACTTAAGACAACATGGGCTCACACATTCTTAAAGGATGCTTAAAATAGTACAAAACTCAAATGAGTCGATGAAAATAATGAATTACTCCTACCAAAACAAAGAGCATTGGGGGAGGGGGACTTCTCAAGGAGATCCACTTCATAACCAGAATATTTTGATAACTCCTTCTGTAATGTCCATCCCTATGTATTTTTCCTGTTGTTAAACAAAAAGCATGACCTTGGTACACTGAGAAATCGAGCTGAGTGTCCCTAAACGTCAAAACTGTCTAACTGACACCAAGCTGGTAGGCGACCTCCCGATTCTTCTCTCCTGCGGTTTTCCTATGGAAAGGGCGACAATCGCTCCTATTCACTAGTCACAAGCACATTGTTCTCCAAATGCCCCAAGCCTGTTTCCTCTTTTATACAGTGGTTTTCATGAGATGCTTATAGTGGACGGATGTGTTCGAGGCTAGAGTCACAAGCTACGCACGATTAACTCTCACAGCTCTGCAGGGTCTCCCTCATCCAGTGTGAACTACGCATGCTCTTGTGCACTCCATGTCTTCTCCTTACTCTCTCTAAGGGGAACCGTATTGCTTTTCCTTTGGTCACTACTGTGTCCCCTGGCTCCAGAACTATGCTCTGCACACAGTAGGTACTTGATAAATGTGTTAAGTCAACTAAGAGCCGGAATCTGCCTTGAAATGAGTCCACGTTAGGCTGCTGGCACAGACTTCCAGCTGAGTGCAACTAGAGACAGGACCAGGCCCATGGGGACGTCCATGGCGTGTCTGTGAGACAGGCTGCCTTACTCTGGACACCCAGATGCTGTCTTTTCTGGTAGATGCTCCTACAGTCACAAGGGAGTAACAACTGCAATAGGGACAGATTATTTGCTTGTCTGTTTGAGACAGGGTCTCACTGCAGTCTGGCCACTACCCTGCACTCTGCTGGTACTACATGCACCGTCCACTATGCCCAGCTCTGACGACTGTTAAACAGTCTATCTAGACACATTATATCTAGTCCCAGTGATAGCTCTAAACATTACCATGTATATCAACGAGGCTTAGAGTTTCTAAGTGATTTATCCAATCACCTAGCTAATAAATAGCAGGGCTATGGACTTTATATGTCGCTGATGGCTAGGGTTATACACGGAAGCTTTTTTGTGGTCCCTGTGATTTGAGACCAGATGTGACCCAGATATCTCAACAGAAGTAAGACCTATGACTAGATAGACTTGTAGAGATGACTAAGAGTCCATATGTCTCCCCAGCTGAAACAGCTCTGGCTGGATCCTATAGCATGTGGATACTCCCACTCATTCATTCAACATTTTCTGGTTTCCTGCCTGGGGTTACTCTTTTCGAGGTGGCAGACACAGCTGTGGACAAAACAGACAAAAATCGCTCCTCCTCCTGTTGAATTCATATTCTCGTGGAACATCATACATAAACACATGTAGCTGGAGTTTTCTCTCCAGCTCCCACCAAGCCCTGGCAGTCCCGCAGCCCACTTATAAAATAAACACACAGACTCTTATATTATTTAAACTGTTTGGCCTAATGGCTCAGGCTGCTAGCTATCTAGTCCTTACATCTTAAATTAACCCATTTCTATAAATCTATACCTTGCTACATCTTAAATTAACCCATTTCTATAAATCTATACCTTGCTACATGGCTCATGGCTTACCAGTATCTTACACGTTGGTACTCATGGTGGTGGCTGGCAGCGTCTCTTTTCTCAACCTTCCTGTTCCCAGAATTCTCTTCTCTGCTTGTCCCACCTATACTTCCTGCCTGGCTACTGGCCAATCAGCATTTTATTTATATAGAGCAATATCCACAGCAAATACATTGAGCACAACTTCTGGTATATTGGAAGTGGGATGTACTGTTTGGTAAATTGGAACAGGTAAGAGACTACCGTGCACTATGATGTTAAACAAATCAATCAAGACAGTGTTGTTTTGTTGTAACAGGGCCTGGGATGGGAGCCACGGTCTTCAGTGTACTGGGTGAATTCCCTGCCACTTTGATCAGATGAGAAGGACTGAGGACTTTGCCATCGTCGACAGAGAGTCCTGTAAGAGGAAAGAACAGCCAGTGGGGACATACTGCCGCCAGCTTGGGCATCTTCAGGAACAGTGTCAGTGGGAACAAGAGACAATAGACAGGCAGATCCCATAAGGCATTGTGTGTCCTGCAGGAGCTTCATTTCAAGGATGTTCAATCCTGGGCAATGGCGTTGCACATCTGCAATCCCAAAACTCAGATCACAAATTTGAAGCAAAAAAAAAAAAAAGTCAAAGGAACTGCTGTTCAAATTAGCAGAAAAAAAATGTATTCACTATGAATGTATGAATATGAAGTCAGTTAAATACTTCATAGTATACCCATATAACAAATATATACTGTAACAGTTTTCAAAACATGTTGCAAGACCCTCCATATTCTTAAAAATAGAGGGTCCTAAAGAGCTTTTATTAATGTGGTTTACATCATTAACATTTACCATTTTAGAAACTAAAAGAGAATTCTCCACCTTCATGAAATACTTCTAATTTTTGAGAATTTCATAAATGAGTGCTCAATACAGCATTTCCACCCCTCCCCACCCTGCCTCCAGCCTCCCCACAGTGTCCCCCCCCCTGCAACTCGCTCTCAAATACATGACTCCTTCTTTAAGTACTGTTATACACGTAAGTAAACACATGTATGCATATATAAAGTCCATTTAGTGTCGCTTTTATGTTCAGGGCTGACCACTTCGGATTGCATAACTGTCGCAGGAATCTTAAAAGTTCTTATTAATAAAATCAAACCCGAGGCGAGTTATTGGGGTCCATGCTGGTAGATCAGAGAGACAGAACAAGCCACAGCTATCTCACCTCGCCGGATCCTCAGCTGGTCTTGTCTCCTCAGACTGGAGGCCTCTGAGTCCTCATCCGGAATGGGTCTCAGCTGAATTACTGCTCAAAAGCCTGAAGCTTAACCAGGCCAAATGCTTAACCAGCCAAATGCTTCTAGTTTCTGGTCCTCACGCCTTGCCTTATATATCTTTCTGCTTTCTACCACCACTCCCTGGGATTAAGGCTGGCTTTGTGGGATTAAAGGCATGTGTCACCATGCTTGGCTATTTCCAATGTGGCCTTGAACTCACAGAGATCCAGAGGGATTTCTATCTCTGGAATGCTAGGATTAAAGGTGTGAGTGCCACCATTTTCTAGCCTTTGTATCTAGTGGCTGTCTGTTCTCTGGCCCCAGATAAATTTATTAGAGTACACAATATTTTGGGGAACACAATACCACCACACATAACCCTATTAGAAGGATGGTCCCTAGAAGATTCAATGCCCTCTCAGCAGCCGCTGATCACCTACGGCTCTTCCTCTAGAGGTGGGGCCTTGTGAGATTTCCTCCACCAGTATTGGCATGTCAAGTGGTGATGTCACTATGCCGGTCTTGTCTAGGTGACTGAATCATTGGGATTTCATGGATGTAGCTTTCATGTCATGTATATAAGTCATTATCCCACAGCAGAAGTCCTGGTTCTCTGGCTTCCACAATCTTCCTGTCCTCTCTTCCACAATGTTCCTTGACCCTCACATGAAGGGATTGTGTTGTAGACGTCTGATTGTGGTTGGGTAACCCAAGGTCAGTTCTCTACCTTCTGACCAGTTGGGGATTTCTATAATGGTCTGTGCTGCAAAAAGACACTTCGTTGATGAGGGGTGAGAGATTACTTCTTTGACTAAAAGGATAAGTGTTTAGATGAAGTTAGAAGTTTTACTGGCTTAGGAAAGCAGCGGTAGTAGGCTCTCCTCTAGGGTCCATGAACTCATCAGCCATGGGTAGTTGTCTAGGTTCACAGTACTAGAGATGAATTCCCTCCAACTCAGTGGGCTGTAAGCCCAATCAGACAGCTGTTGGTTACCCCCGAGATATAAGTGTCACTACTGTACCTCGGAGCTATCCTGCCACACTGATCACAGTCGTGGTTCACACAGGCTTTACAGGTGGGGAGGACACTGATTGCTTTTCTTTCTTGACAGTCTGCATAGCATCTTCCAGCACTAGGAGAGCCAGTCCTCAGGGAGGGGCTTCCATGTCAGTTCCGGTGGAGTTTCTCCAAACCCTGTGTCCGGAGGGTGTGGTGTCTTCAGCGACAGGCTCTTACCTTCAAGTTCCCGGAGGCAACCAAGGCTGCAGGCAGGAGCCTAGATTGTTTGGGGAGACTCTTGGACTTCCCTGACCAACAATGGGAAGGGAGGTTTTTCACACTTAGCATGCAGGATTTAGTCTATTGTTCCTGAGAGGAGCATTACCACCCAAGGTAGTATAACTTTATTTAAACCACACACACACACACACACACACACACACACACACACACACACACACACACAGAGCCAGGCCAGCCTGTTCTACATTGTGAGCTCTGAGCCAAACAAGGCTACATTGAGACCCTGTCTGAAGAAACCAAACCAAGCCCAATTATACATAGATATGTATTTTTAAATAAATCATAAAGTAATGCTTCCCTATGGCTTTTCAAACATGGTTAGTATTAGTTTCCCCTCCCTCTCCCTCTGTATTGTTCTCCAACCCACTCCAGTTAAAGTCCCTGCCTTGTTCTTCCCATTTCCCTTCACAGCACCTGTGGTATTCTCCCCCCTAACGCCCCACTCCCAGGCTCCTTCTTCAACGCCCTCATGGTCACTTTTTACTTTCCTGGTTTCTGCAGTTACTCAGTATATGTGCAGCTACACAGATATACACTCATATCTGAGATGTTTTCCAAAGATTTATTGATTCGTTTAAAAATAGCCATAGTAAAAAAAATAGCCATAGTAAACTGGTTACACTTTAACATAAATACTGCTCCTTTTAATAACACATTTTCATAAAAACTTGTCAAGGATGGCACTGTTTCATTTCTGTAAATGTTCTCATTGTGTAAGTGAGTTTTGGAGAAGAGGTTGAGGTCCCAGTGTCCCAGTCTTCCACAGTCAGTCTATTTGGACACGCTACTTGGCCTGAGGTATAGCAGGAAAACCCAAATTCATACAAATATGTAGTTGAAAAAGACAGGCTATTTTAATAGCTTTTCAAATAACAGTAGCTATACCAAAACCATAGGTGTTTCTTAAAGATTATTTGTGGTGTGTAATAGGAAACTAGAGACATTAGCTTTTCGTTCTTGGTTACACTGAGACTTTTTCCGCCTCCATTGGGTTACTTAGATGTTCTAGATATAGAAAAAGCTTTAAATAGTATCAAAAAATCATGTGTTTATTTTATCCATCTCATTAGAAAAGTTTTCAGGTCAAGAAAAGCTGCACAGGTTTCCAGCGAAGGATACAAGTTCACCAAGATTGTAAGTTCTAGTATAAATTTCAGTTTTATTACTGAGAATAAATACTGGTAAGTAATTTTCTTTAAAGCAACAGGCTAACTTCATTTGGTCTTGAGAAAATGTCTGCTAAATAACCAGGTCTAAAGAACCATGTATAATTTTTGCCAGCAAGTTTTTGCTTTTCAATTCAATTAAAAAAAAATCCAATTCAACTCATAGTTCAAATATTTAAGCAGGGGTTTTCCTGCAGATGGCCACTGCACCCAGCATGAAGTTCAAGGCCATAGGGCACAGCAACTCGTGTATTGGAGAAATATATGTTAAGGCACAGAAAAGTAGAAGTAACTAGAGAATGTCCATGACATGGTCAATGGGAGCTACCTTCTGTAGTAGGAAGCAGAGAATGAGAACATGGGCATTTTTATGTTTTAAGTATAGTTTGAGAGTTTTATAATAAGGTTCATTCACATATTACGATTATAACAAATTAAGAAAATGAATATATAAAACTTTGGCAGGTTACAAAAAGCAGCTTTTGATTATCTCCTAATGGAACTTTTTTTCAACTACTCTGAATTCAAGCATGTATTTCTTCTTTTTTAATAACAGTTCATTTCTATTTACAAAAGAAGTTATTCAAAGGCTAAAAATAGATTCAAAAGCTATATGGTGAATTGCTTAAAGTTAAATAACAAAAGTTTACCCAGAACAGAGTTGAGTTTTAAATTTTTAAGTTGTTTGTGAAACATAAGACATACTAAATTTTGGCATCTTCAAACATTGAAGGCACTCATAGTAAATAAAGAAATGAAAATTAAACATGTTTAATATTCAGTATGGAGGACATTGCTTCACTTGAGAACTCATAGACGTTCTGTAGAAAATGCACAGCATTTAGTTGCTTTTATGACTAGAATCCTTTCAGCACTTCCCCCATCTACATGGAAGCCAGTGGTCACTGACTGGTCCGGGGCACTGACGTTGTCTGGCAGTGCACATATGGCATCTGCATTAAGAAAGTAAGGGCCATCCGTAACACGGGCCTGCTGTCTTCATTCACAGGACACCGTCCTGGCAAGTTAAGACTGCTTCATATCAATCAGTACACAACCTCTACCCGTTCTCCAAGTCAAAGAAACATCCTACATTTCCCACGTCCATTACTGTGGGAAGCAGAGTGACTGAGACACGAGACAGAGAGGCAAGGGCTCTGAAAGGAAACCCAACTTCACACTCCAGGTTGTACTCGGGGTCTTAGACGATTCAGATGCCTTATCTCAACTGCGAATAGGCAATTAAGGACGCCAGCTGCTCAATGCTTAAGTGCATTTTACTTAAGAAATTTCAAAGTTAAAATATTTCTTTTCGTTCTTTACAGGAATAAAGACAGTAGGACACACAAGTCATCCTAACCAAAAAGACCTTTCTTTTTTGTCTTGGCCACTGATGAGCTGCCCATCTCAGCCGAGGGCACACTTCCTTTGGTAAACCACTCAGGTAATTTTCTCTTTGACACTTCAGATGACGTCTATAGAAAACAGAAAGACAAAGAAATATTCATACAACGGAAAAGGCATAAGAGCTGTAAAAGTAACTCAGACATCCTGAATAATTCTCCTCAACCAAACAAAATGAAATGAAATATCTATAGAATTCTTGTGGGGGTGAAAAAAATCTAATAAATAAATGAGAAAAAAAATATATCGTTTCCTTCAGCAGTTTGTGGTGATATTTTATTTGTACTGAAATGTTATTTTAATTTTATGTTAATAAATAAAGTTGCCCTGGGGTCAGAGCTATTAGAGCCATAGTAAGAGCGTGGTGGTTAGAAGAGCTAGGTAGATTTCTGCGTGCTCTCGGTACAGGTGGGCTAAGATTCTCATGTCCTGCTCTGGACAGGACAATGGCTGCCTGCAACTGCAGGAAGCTGTCTTGGCAGGAGAGGAACTCGTTCTTCTTCATGATGGCCTCAGTGGTCAAGGTGAGCTCGTTCTTACTGAGAGCAAGTTCACTCTGACATGGAAACACTGCCTGTTAGGAAGTCCTGAATGGCAGCAATGAGTGGCTCCCCATTTCTCGGGGTCACAATGTTTGCTTTGGTCTTTAATCCTAACATTCCGGAGGAAGATCCATTCAGATCTCTGTGAGTTCAAAGCCACACTGGAAACATGGTGACACACGCCTTTAGTCCCAGGAAGTGATGGCAGGAAGCAGAAAGGTATATAAGGCGTGAGGACCGGGAACTAGAGTTCTTTTAAGCTTTTAGCTTTTTAGCAGCAGTTCAGATGAGATCCATTCAGATGAGGAGTCAGAGGCTCTCAGTCCAAGGAAACAAGTCGGCCGAGGAATTAGCAAGGTGAGATTGGATGTGGCTTGTTCTGTTTCTGTGACTATTCAGCGTTCAGCCCAATACCTGGCTCCAGGTTTGTTTTATTAATAACGCCTTCTATCAATTCGAGTTACAGCTCGGTCCATCCCACTTT